AGCCAAAATTTGAGAAAAGAAATTCAAAATTTTCTTTCATTTCAATTTTCACCGCGCATTTTCTTAGTAACCCCAAAAAGCTAAAAATAAAAAAGTATCATGAACACGAAATTCGAATTTCGCTAAAAATTCAAATTCAAAATTTTATTTTCTCTTTCAATTATTACAAACACAGGGGAATTTCGAATTTACCGGCACACAGAGGTCTCCCGCGAACGGTCCGTCAGCAAGACTCCGGCCGCAACCAATATCACCCCCGAAATTTGGCTCGGAACCTGAGAAGGACGACGAATTGCAGCTGTCGCCGACGGTGACGGTAGAGGATTCCGTGGAATGTCCGGCAACAGATTCAACAGCGTTGTCATTGACAACGGCATCCTCGTTGGAGAAGTCCAAAAGTTCATCGACAATGAAATGGTCACCGCCGGAACCATGCTTCTCCGGCGTCAATTGCGAGCAATAGCCGGTGGTTCCAAGAAAGAACTCTGGAGCTTCCATAATCTAGAAGTTTTGGGTATGGGGTTTTTGGTTGTGAATTCCTTCGAATTTGGCGTTAAAGGAAGAGAGTGAAGTGCGAAAAATGTGTGCGTAGAGAAGCAAAGTTGTGGTTTTGAGTAGAGAGAGAGAGAGGGTTTATTTGCGTTTGAAGGGGACAGGCATACAGCTAAAATGAAGGATTTTTGAAGACAGCAGAAAATAAAAAAAAAAAATTCAAATGAATTAAAGAGGCTTTAATTGGTTTAATGGAAAATCTCCTCTGAAGTTACTTTAATGCCCTTTTTCTTTTGGAGTCTTTTTATGCCCGATTTACCTGTCTGTAACTTTATCTGTATACCAACCATATGTTAGTCTAAATATAAGAAATTTGATTCTTTTTAAATAAAATTTTGAGTTTAAGTTTTATAAATTAAAAAACAGATGTTGGGAGAGTTTCTTCCCTAATAAAATCCGATACGACTCAATTTTAGCAAGAAGATTAAAAAAAAAGAAAAGAAAACAACAACAAGAAGTCTGTCTGCATGGTAACAATGAAATCCCAAATGAGAAAACGTACTGAAAGGTATAAGTTCCATGCATGCAATTACAAAAATCACCCCCCATGTTATGTTTTTACTAACGTACTCCAGTCTCCAGGCCCATCATGATACTTGGTGTTTCCTTTAAAATTAATAGAAAATTTTTATAGTAAAAAGTATTTTATAATTTGTATTATATCATATTATATAATATAAATTATTAAATAAATAGCAGGTCATTTGATATTAAAAGTTTTTTTCATTTAATAATCTTTAATTTACAGTTTAAAACTCATCTTTCCAAGTTTTTATTCATCTTTATAGCTTCATTTGTTAAAAAAAAAAAAAGGATTAAGATTAAATTTTGATTCAAGTTTAGTAAAAAATAAAAATAAAAATCAGAATATTTTAACACATTAAATATCAAAATTTTTTTAGAAATTATTCAAATATCTTTAATAATTTTTTTATATATTAATTCATTAAGTGTATTTTAGTCTTTTTATTATCAACCTTGATATTTTAATTATCAAGACATCTTATTTTTTTAATTCTTTAGCGAAAACTAAATTAATCAAATGCAGAGGAACACAAAAATATAAAAAATAATTGAGAGAACTTTTTTTAATTACATTTTGATACAATCTTACATATCATTTAAATGATTAATTTTTTTATTCATTTGATATCCATAATATTAAATATATATACTCATTTAATAATATCTAACTTTTATATTAAAAAATTATTTCTATATCATATCTCCAAAAATATTAGAATTTACAACTAGAGTAGGTCCCAGTTAGTTTACTAAGAAGAAATCTGAACCGCATGTGCTTCTGATGCCGGTGATGATGATCACAATGTGATACAGCAATTATCATCACACGTACCACACACTATCATCAACCCTTGCTTACAGTTTCAGTAACTAATTAAAGCACCCAACACATGGCCACTTCTGATAATTAATTACTACACAATTAAAAGGGTTAAGCAGCTGGTTTAATTAATTAATGCTTTATTTTTTTTAATTTCGACGTCGACGGGGTAATGCCGTAATAACATAATAAATTAATCCGGATTAGAGTTAAATCATGTGTCAAATTCAACTCCTTAGGAACCGATCTAGCAGGTTTGTCGCTGAGTTTTTGGTGAATTCCTGCATTATCTTCCAAGTTTTACAACCCGATTCCTCAGCTTTTATTTTCCTCGATTTTTGTGTTTTATAAAATTTACTACTATATCTTCTTTTGATTATATATATATATAAATTAACGAATTTAATAAAATTTCCTGTACCTGTTCCGGTTAACTCCATTATTATATTCAAACCTCACTTGTAAGCACGACGGGTACAGCTCAATCTGATCAAAATGATTGGTCTTGATCTTTTCCTACGTGTACCCCCCAATAAAAAGCTTGAATTACTTTAATCTTTAAATTTTCAATTACTGTATTTTTTTTCAAATATAACATATTAATATCAACAACTTATTGATTTAAGTCTTATAAATGAAAAATAAATATTAAAAAGGTTTTTTTATGAGATTCGATATGATTTAATTTTAAATTAATAAAAATTTAATATAATTATCAAAAATTGATAAGGGTTAGTATAAAATATATAAAAATTTAATATGATTATAAAAATTCGATAAGGGTTAGTATAAAATATATATATTAGTGTTTTATTTATTTTAAAATAGTTGTTATTTTATTAAAATTTGAAAATAATTTAT